GTGTGTGAGAGAGACAGAGATACAGAGAAAGAGAGAACTCATGCACTGTTGTGGAGATCTCACTGCACGGGAACTTGCATTGATAAAAAGTCTGTCAGTCTGCAGAATTTGGAGAGGAAGGCGTTCGAGAGTTATCAGTGTCCTCCCAGCAAGTGAATAGCACACTTGGAGGAGGGGATGCACATCAAATAACTCCCAGAGAAGGAATGTGTGCACCCCACCTCCATGCCATTGTCTGCACAGGATGATCGGAATTGCCTCCATCCTCGGGATTTACGTAACCCACCGCACTTGGTCACTGTCAGACCGTGTGTCCTGTGCCTGCTAATGTGAACTGTTTTTTTTTTTTTTTTTTTTTTTTCCCATGAGAGGGATACAAACAGCCTCACTGCTGGTTGAGAATCTGGGCTATGTTTGGTCTCTTGGTGGCTGTGGCTTGGCATCTGGGCCTTGCAGGCTGCCGTAGATGTAACCTGAAGGCTGCTCTTGTGTGGCCCATCTGAACTGTGCTGTCACCTCCCAGCCATGACCGCCTCCATCCACACTGTGACACACTCACCCAGGACAGGCCCAGAGCTCATGCCATGCACGTTGTAAGGAAATCCCTAGGACTATGGCTTTGACCCATAAATGTCCAGTTCCAAGAGCACAGAGGTCCTCTCTGAGGGAGTGTAGTTGGCAAAAGCAGACCAGGTCCCTGGACGTGGGGCACAGACTTTGCTTGAAGTTGCTTAAGCTCTTGCTACCTCACCTGCAAAAGGAGGCTAAGAATACCTGCCCCTGGGATTGTCGTCAGGCTCTGAGGAGCTCCAGACAAAGCACAGAGACCCATAGCTTGGGAAGAACAGGCCCTCTGCAAAACGTTCATGGTCAAGTGCAGAAAATTGGGGATAGCTAGCTGCTGGTTACCCGGGGTTTGAAAAAAGAGGTTGTGTATGAGTCACATGAATTTAAGACACGTTATGGGAGGGTCACAGCAACAGAATGGCGGTTGCCCAACAGGGTCTCCTGACTTTGAAGCAAGCTTTCTGTAAGCTGATCATGTGTTGGGGAATTATTAAGTTAGGTTGAACAAGGAAGAGAGAGTGTATGTTCCCCCTCTCGCATCCCTGGTCCTTGGACAGGGACACCCTTCCCCAAGGGGCCATACCATTACTTTTACTTTGAAGCCCTAAAACCTTTGTCACATGATTTTTGACCTCTGTGGTATACTTTTAAAGCATCCAGTTGGGGACCATGCCATGGACATTTTTGTAGATTTGTACTTCCGGAAGGATACCTTCTTTGCATGTTCTGGGTCCTCTCAAAGTTCCTTTCTAATAGTTTTAGAGAAGCTTTGGATATAATAAACTAGATATTTGGAGAAAAATGTAACCGTCCTTTTAATTAAAAAATAAATAAATAAAATAGCAGAGCCTCCAAATTTGGCCCAAGTGGGAGAAATTTCTGGAAGGGAGAGAAGTCTGGGCCACACAGACTATGTTCCTGGGGTATGTTTATGTGATACCCTCATGACCTGGAGTCCCCACCGCCCTGGTCTCAGGGAGGGCACTGCCTGGTGCCCAGGTGTGTACATAAGGCATTTCTCTGACTTCCCCACCATGGAGATTCAATGGAGCCATTTATATTTCAATTACTTAAAATTAAATAAATATGAAAATTAAGTTCTCCAGTCACACCAGCCACATATGCAGGGCCTGCAGTCACACGTGACTTGTGGCTCTGTGTCAGACATAGGTGACAAGCATTTCTGTGATGGCAGCAAGGTCTGCTGGATGCCAGGTGGGACTTGAGCCCTCGGCGTCAGCCCATGAGGAGCCCAGGGGTGGAGCCTCCCATCTTTCCTGGTCTGTTATGCCCAGGGCTGACACAGCAGCCTTCCCGACACACGAGTGTGTACCTGTGCACAAGGGGTTTGAAAAAAGGGGCACACCCAGGGCCGTAGAGTCTGTGGCACGCTCCCAGTGAGTCAGCAGGGGACTGGGCCAGTTCCCACTGGTCGCCTCGCAACAGTCTTACACGTGGGAACTCAGCTTTGGAGAAATCCAATTAAGGAATCCTTGGATTAAGTGGCTCAGCAGACAGCCGGCCCTTTGTATCCACAGCTTCAGCAACATGGCAGGATTTAGCCAACGTCATAGGGAAAACATTTAAAAACGATTGCATCTGTGTGAAATGTGCGCGCGCCATCTCCTCTGATTATTCCCTAAACCACGCAGTGTGGCGGTCATTGGCATGGCCTTTACATTCTGTTAGGTATTCGAGGTCATCTGGAGAAGATCTAAAGTGCAGGGGAGGATTGCATAGGTTAAATGCAAATACCCTGCCGTTTCCGCCAGGGGGGGGGACGTCTTGAGGTGGATCCCCTGCAGATACCGAGGGACAAGCAGAGTTCCTCAAAGAATTGAGTGCCTTGTTGAAGAGGATTACTCCAGGGCTGGGGAGGGGGCTCAGTGGCTGGGCCCTTGCCTAGCATGTACTAGTGGTTCCAGAAGAATTCACAAATAGTGAATTAGGATTTTTTTTTCATTCCTGGGACTGTGTTGCACTGGGGGTTTTAGGCACCCTGAGTGTGATCAGAGGTCTTGCCCTGGGCTGTGAGGCAGGAGCATCCTGAGGCTCCTTGGCTGGGCAGAGGTGAGTGGGACCCAGGGGCTGGGGACTCTCTCAGCCTGGGCCCCGACTCCAGCCCGGCCTCTGTCCCTGCCTCCGGGAGAGAGATGGGCCGTTTGCCTGTCTCTGAAATTCCTGTGCTGTTTAATTTGAGCAGAGATAAAAATACCACAAGAGAGATCGCTCTGAAGGGCCTGTGACTGGCACCAGGAGGTATGGTGACCCCTGGCACGTGGACCCCAAGTTGTGATGAAGGATTTCCTTCTTTTTTATGGCTGAGTAATACTCCTTGTGTATGTATGTCAGATTTTCCTTATCCGATCCCCTGTGGCTGGAAACTGAGGTTGACTCCTTTTCTTGGCTACTGTGCTCATAGGGGTCCCATCTGTCTTTAGCATACGCATTTCAGATCCTTAGGACACACCTGCTCAGAAGGGGGCTTGGTAATTTGTTTTTAGCTAAGATCAAATAATTTACTTTTCCTTGAAGATGCTCTTTTAACCCCTGGAGACAAGGACTTATTTCTAGAAACTAATTTTACTCTAATTTTTAAATGTCTGTTCCTCTCCTTTATTTAAATTCTCTACTTCAGGGACACCAGTGTGGCACATGTCAGATCCCCTTGGTCTTTCATCCTGCCAAAGCCACTCGTCTTCCCCTCCATGTCTGCAGTGCCGTTGTCTCTTCTCTTCTCGCTGTTTGAAATAATAGCCTCCATTTCTTTTTTTTCCCTCCTTTGGTATTAGGGATTGAACTCAGGCACTCTTAACCCCTGAGCCCCATCCCCAGCCCTTTGTATGTTTTATTTAGAGACAGGGTCTCACTGAGTTGCCTAGGGCCTCACTACTTTGCTGAGGCTGGCTTTGAACTCACGATCCTCCCTCCTCAGCCTCCCAAGTCCTGGGATTACAGGCGTGCCCCACTGTGCCCGGCCAATAGTCCCCATTTATCTTCTGCTTTTCCCCCACCCTGGTCTCTGCCCGCTACCTTCAGTGCCTCTTCTTGCCTCCCACTTTCTTCCTCCAACTTGCGTTCTCCTGCTCTGAGCTACTGTTGCAGCAGAGGGATGATTCTCTTAAGTTCTGTGGTTCCACATCTGCAGGTTGGGGTCATGGCTTCACCTGCCCTTTGGGACAATATCCAGGTAAGTGACCCTAATCTGCCCTTTGTTTCTCCTGCTATTTCTCTCCTTTTATTCTTCTAGAGTAATTAGGTAGATCCCTGGTTGTAATCAATCATGGAGGATGGAGGGACCCAGGATATGTTCCCCCTAACAGAATATTTTCTTTATGCCGAGTAATGCTGTGTGTGTGTGTGTGTGTGTGTGTGTGTGTGTTAGGATGGGTTGGTTTATCATGTGTTTTTCCCAGGGAGGCCGCCAGCCATTCAGAATCTCCTTGCCTGTCCACTTCCAAGTCATGGCGGGTTTGGCCACTGCTGTGTGGACTCCTCGGTTCTGCGGGATTTCCCTGGGTCTGCAGCAGCTGGGCTCTGCCTGCAAGTCTTTATGCTGCTAGGGAGAGCCTTGGCTGCCTGGGCTCCAGTCACCTGCTGTGCTTGAGCATGGTCTGTCCCCTCCGTGTTGACACCTATCCCCCACTACGGAATAAAGGATGGGTCCAGGTTGGGCCTTTAGGAGGTGATTCGGGTTTTGCCTTCTAGAATGGATTAAGTCTTTTTTGTCACTAATGAATGAGTGGAATGATGCATTGATGGTTTACCTCGAGAAGGGTCTTCCATAAAAACCAGGTTGGCTTCATCTCCCTCATGCTCCCTGTGTCACATCATGTGATACCCTGCATGGCCTTGGGACTCTGTCAACATGAAGGCCATCACCAGCCCCTTGGCTTTGGACCAGGACTGTGAGCCCAGACAAACTTCTTTTGTTTATAAAGTAACTAGACTCGGGTTTTCTGTTTCAGCAACGAAAAACAAACCAAAATTTTGTTTCACGTTGTCACACTCTTTAGGGTACTCTATTTCTCTTTCTGGTTCTTCTTATTGTGGGGCAATTTCAGACAGGCAAGGGCAGTGACATCTTCACTCTGCTAGCACCCGTGTTGTATATTATTTTGATGTTTGTCTTATAGAGTCATCAAAATGTTTGGCATTTTCCTACAACAATGAAGTTTCTATAGGAATGGGTAAGAATGACAAATAAATGGAAAATAACCCAGAATGATCACAGCAGTTCATATGGCACTCTTGGCTTCAACCAGCCTCTTGGACCTTTATGACCAGCCAGAGCCACTTTGTGGGCCCATTCTTTGATCCATTCAACACCCTGATTTCCAGGGCACCCACCATAGGTCAAGAGTAGGGTTAGGTGCTGGGCTGTTGCATTTGTCAGATTTTCCTTACTGTAACAAAATACCTTGGGCCATCAACTTATAAAGATGAAAGATTTACCTTGGCTCACAGTCTTGCACTTGAGTGGCATTTGGCCAGGTTATGCAAACTAGGAGCCCAGCACCAGGCTTGGTGATGTATATGGCCTTGTTTATTCGTCATAGCAACCATATTTTCTTACATGTTAAAATTATGGAAAAATGCAATGCCTCTCAAAATTAACCAAGGCCTTTATTTATTTATTTTTCCCTAAAAGCAGAGCGTACCAAATAAAGCTGAAGCTACATCCCTCGGGTGGATGACAAGATGGAGAGTGGTTTGCCTCAGGCCAGAAGGCCAATGAGCACTGGACCTCCAGGGCCTTTAGTTGCAAAGACTGAATTCACTCTGCCATGTTGCTTTGTCTACACTGCGTGAGTCACACTGTGTCAACTGTGTGACTTGTGTGTGGCAGATACTAACAGCTATAACAACAAATAAACAGATTTTCCTCATGGCAGGGACTGATTTGGGGTATCTTCACATATCAACCCAAGATTTGAAGGTGGCAGATGTTTTGTTAGACAGCCAACCAGATACAGGGAGATGTGATTCTCAGGAGCTGAGATGAGCTCAGATAACCATGTTCCAAATATTTGTGCATAAGAAATTGATTCATCCTTGTACTGATTTTTACACAATTCTGTACTTTCCTGCATAGTCTGTTTGTGACCATCAAGGCCCCTGGGGAATATTCTAGAAATTTCTCCACATGGGTATCTTGAGTCACCGTTTGCATTCTTGCATAAAATGATACCCAGTTGATCCTCATTTTTCAGGGTTCTGTATTTGTGAATTCACCTACTCACTACAATTTATGATCACCCCCAAAAAAGTACTCACGGTGCTTTTGTGGATGTGCACAGTGGGAAAAATAATGAGTCACCAATGTGCATGCTCCTGTGCTTGAGGGTGAACAAGGCCACGTTCCAACAGGGTGTTCCAGCTCCTTCTATAAACAAGTGTCCTTTTCATAGTCTTTTCAGTGACATGGTTTTGCATTGCTTGGTGCTTTTCTTGGGCCATCTTGCTGGTTATTATGGTCCCAACGTGTAATACAGAAGAGCTGTCTAGTTCCTGAGCACAAGAAGTCTGTGTTGTTCCCTGGGGAGAAGACACCTCTGTTAGGGAAGCTTTGGGCACAAGTCACAGTGCTGTTGGTCATGAGTTCCATGTTCAGTGAATCAACAGAAACACGTTAAATAAGGTCTGCATGAGACAGTCGATGAAGATGTCGTCAGCAGAACTCCCAGCCGTGATTCCATGTTTGGGTTGACTTTATGGAACATATTGAGCTCAGGCAATGGGAATCAACTGAATTCTGTTTCTCTCTTGTACAAAGAGGGGAAATAAAACTTAAAACCAAGGTAAATAGAGTCAGGTTATTTTTATCAGAAACATGTTTCCCGAAACAAAGGTACCACTTTATCATAAAGTCTCCTCGCCTTGAGTTTTACGTTGGTTAAGGACATCAGCAGATTTTTATTATGCTTAGCACTGTTTGGGTACCAGGAGGACATCAGTGGACAAGTCCAGAGGTAGACAGACCACAGGCTGCAGGATTAAATGTGGTCTCATTGATTGGATCTTTCTGTTTCTATCCAGCCGGAAACCCAGTGACTTCTTAAATAAATCTTCTGGGGCTGGGTGTAGCTCGGTGGTAGACCATTTGTCCAGCATGTGTGAGGCCCTGGGTTCTATCCCCAGGACCCACACACACACACACACACACACACACACAATCTTCTGATTATCACACACACGTTTCACTTAAGAAAGAAAACGCACTATGGTCAATATGTGTACAATAAACATCTCCCATAACTAGAGACTGACGCCACGGAGGGTTTACTGCTAGCTACCCAAGCTGGGGATCAGCCTCACTGTTGTATAATACACTCACCAGAGGCCCTGGAGGCTTCCAGCAATCAGACTTGCAGGACCATCGTGGGTCCTACTGGACATAGGGTCATTCAGGGGCCGCCAGGGAGAACCCATGATGGACCTCAGGTGTTCTTTCAGTGGGAGTCCTTTGAGGTCCAGCTCAGCTAGTTGAGGGTCGCACCCGCAGCCACTCACCTCTCTGAAGGACACTGTGAGCATAGCTTCAGGAGATGGGCATGTTTCCCCGAGGCCAGAGCCTGTTCTCTTGATGGTGGTGGACGCTGAAACTCAGCAGTCATCTTACAAAGAACTGTGTTCCTTGGAGGGAAAAGTGTTGGTCATTTAGCAGTTGGAGATTTTTGTGTACAAAATACTTTAGATAACATCATGACAACAGGGAAGCTTTTACGTAGGTCTTTATGTTTTCTAGGTTTCTTAGACACCATCCTTTGTTCCTCTCTGTCACTCTGTGTAGTAGAAAGGGTGTTGGTGTCTAAGTGTTACGGTCACTCCCATCTCTTTTTCTTTTTTATGGGGGGGTACTGAGGGTTGAACTCAGGGGCACTCGACCACTGAGCCACATCCCCAGCCCTATTTTGTATTTTATTTAGAGACAGGGTCTCACTGAGTTGCTCAGTGCCTCGCTGTTGCTGAGGCTGGCTTTGAACTCGTGATCCTCATGTCTCAACCTCCTGAGCTGCTGGGATGACAGGTGTGCCCTACTGCCCCTGGCCACTCCCATTTCTTTCAATACTATCAATAAGGTGCTCACTGTCTCCCAGCTGCATTGCAGGTGATGTGCCTGTGTGGGTCACTCTGGGACTTTTATGCATTCAGAATGGTGGAGAGATACCTCAGTCTTGGCTTTCAGACTCATACTATGTGGGGTGAGTTTTTGGTTTTGTTTTTACATTTTTTGTGTAGAAAAAAACTTGATTTTTAAAAATTTATTTATTTATTCTAATTTGTTATATATGACAGCAGAATGCATTTCAATTCATAGCACACCATATAGAGCACAGTTTTTCATGTCTCTGGTTGTACCCAAAGTAGAGTCACACCATTCGTGTCTTCACACATGCACTTGGGGTAATGATGTCCATCTCATTCCACTGTCTTTCCCACTCTGCTGCCCCCTCCCTTCCCCTCGCTCCCCTTTGCCCTATCTAAAGTTCCTCCATTCCTCCCATGCTCCCCCACCACATCCCCATTATAGATCATCATCCTCATATCAGGGAAAACATTCAGCATTTGTTTTTTTTGGAATTGGCTTGCTTCACTTAGCATTATATCCTTTAACTCCATCCATTGACCTGCAAGTGCCATGATTTTATTCTCTTTTAATGCTGAGTAATATTCCATTGTGTATATGTGCCACAGTTTCCTTATCCATTCATCCACTGAAGGGCATCTAGGTTGGCTCCACAGTTCAGCTATTGTGAATTGTGCTGCTATAAACATTGATGTGGCTGTGTCCCAGTAGTATGCTGTTTTTATGTCCTATGGGTATAGACCGAAGAGAGGGATAGCTGGGTCAAATGGTGGTTCCATTCCAAGTTTTCCAAGGAATCTCCACGCTGTTTTCCCTACTGGTTGCACTAATTTGAAGTCCCATCAGGAATATATGAGTGTACCTTTTCCCCCACATCCTCGCCAACACTTATTGTTGTTTGTCTTTATAATAGCTGCCATTCTGCTGGAGTGAGATGCAATCTTAGAGTGGTTTTAATTTGCATTTCTCTAATTGCTAGAGATGTTAAACTTTTTTTTTCCATATATTTTTTGATTGATTATCTATCATCTTCTGAGAAGTATTTGTTCAGTTCCTTGGCCCCTTTATTGATTGGGTTATTTGTTTCTTTGGCCCGTTTACTGATTGGGTTATTTGAAAAAACTTAAAGTCTTGATAATGAATATTTTCTAACCTAGATGCATAGAGAGCATGGTATAACAATCACGCATACACTCATGACTTTGTTGTAGGAATCGTGTGCCATATTAACTTATCAACTCTTTTGCTTACATTTTGCTCAAGGGTTGCTAAACAAACTATAGCTATCCTAGAATTTCAACCCCCAAACACTCCAATATACCTTTCTTTTAAGAAAACGTTTTAGCTGGGTGTGGAAACGCCAGCCTATAATCCCAGTAGCTCGGGAGGCTGAGGCAGGAGGATCGCGAGTTCAAATCCAGTCTCAGCAAAAGTGAGGCACTAGGCAACTCAGTGAGACCCTGTCTCTAAATAAAATTCAAAATAGGGCTGGGGATGTGACTCAGTGGTTGAGTGCCCCTGAGTTCAATCTCTGGCGCCCCCCTCCATTAAAAAGAAAAAAAATATATTATAACAATATAGATGTCCTGGGACAGCCCAGTCCCAGGTTGTTAGAACTGGACCCAAAGTGCCATGGGACTGAAGATAGAGGTAGAGCACAGACTGCAGTTTATTGGAGGACAGACTGACTGACAGAAACGTGGTTCTGAGTGGTAGCAAAACTAAGAGGATCCATGGACCGTGGATCAAAGGAGAGACCTATATATAGATTAGGACAAAAGTGACTTCAATCAAGCCAGAACGTACCTCTTTTAAGAGTCAGGCACATTCCCAGTACCAAGTCGCCAATCATAAAGGGCCACACACCACCCCAATGGTTCCGTTGACTTATGGTGTGCTGGGACACTATGTGGGAGAACACCAGGGGTGCTCAGGAGCAGACAGGGCGGCTACAGTTCAAGACGGCTGCGGGCAGGTCACGCCGGATGGCAATGACACGGTCCCCACACAGTGAACATGGTGTCGTGTTCCCGAACCTGCGTGCAGCAGCCAGGGCAGAAGGTCTGGGAATAAGGACATGTGAGCGTGCCTTCCTTGAGGCACGGTCACTGCAGTACAGGGGCATGCCCTGAGCCGTCATCCAGCCATCCTGAGGACATCCCACCTGCCTCACCAGCAGGTGTAGCATTCACCAGGCAACACATGGGGAGCACTCAAATGGCCCCCACACCAACTTCTTGAGGAGAGTTGATCTGTCCTCATTTTGCAGATGGTGAAACAGAGGCTTAGCTTTAGGGCTAAAAGTAGCAGAGAAAGTTCTGGAACCTGTCGTCCTGGAGCTGGACTTGTAACCACTGCCCAAACAGTCTCTCTTACTCCACATGTACTCAGGCTTCCCACTGCTGTCCAGATGGACCTGTCCCAGACGAAGTACCCAAAATGCAGCTTGACCTGGTTATCAAGGTGCAAGAGAAAAGCAAGCAAGCTTTGCTTCCAGAGCACAAAACCCTTGATTTTAAAGTCATTTTCATTGCCTCGATTTAGACCTGAAATTTTCCAGATAATAAGGTTCACAGTCTCCATCATTTTGGACCAATTAATGGTCTATTAATAATCCTGGTAGAAAAATATAACTGGGTAATATGTAAATAGATCAGAAAAAGACTTGCTAACTGTATTTCATTTGGTGGGAATGTGTAAAACATTATTTTCCTTCTGCTTTCCATATCTGCATGACAAAATAGGGACCTAATATTTTGAGGTAGTTGTCAATTAGGAGTATGCCCCGAGTGTCAAATGATGAGCGCACACGGTCCTGAGGCTCATGGGGCCTCTGCTAGAGATTCAGAGTTAGGTGGGGTGGATTGGGCTAGGACCTGCAGCTCCTCCGGCCTCCATGGATTATAAGGTGGGTAGCTGGAGTCCTGTCTGGATAAAACTACAATCACGTATCATTCACACATTTACCCAGAAAATGTTTATGGATCCGATTTCTCATTTATAAATCATTAGTCATTTAGCCATCTATGACAGAATAATCACATTTGATCCCTTTATCGTTATATAACGATTTTCTGGAAACCCAGACCCCTATTGACTATGAGAATCTTTTTTTTTTTTTTTTTATACTGAGGATTGAACCCATTCATGTGTTCATCCTTCTGGACACTGCTTATGGGCCATCCATTGTAGGATAGCCATGAGAGAGATATCAGGTAAAGGATTAATGAAGAGAGACAATACAAGTCACCTTCCTCAGCTCTGACATGTAAAGAGCTTGGAATTTGTCCCTTCCATCCTTATAACAAGGAGTAGCTGGACAAACTGAGTATCAGTGACTTTTCTTATCCAATCGGGTATCTGGGTAGATGGACGCAGGGCATTTGGAGAGATGGGCACATTCAGAAATGCCCAAACCAACCAATTTGGGTTGGTTGGTTTGCACATGGGAAGTATTTTATTATCTCTTTATGATCTGCGGAAGCTGTTTTAGTCCGACACTGATAGTGATTCTCGAGAGCTGATGTGGGGTGACTTGCTTAGGGGCTACTGGAGTAGTGTGAGAGAAGGAAAAACTCCTATGGGTAGCAGTATCAGAATGCCCCCTTTCTTGGATCTTTCCTCCAGGATTTCACTTTTAGAAGGCCCCTGGTTAGGTATGGTCAGACATGCAGACGCAGAAATGCTTGTCATGAAGGAGGATGCTGACCCAGGTTCCTAGGGGTAGAGACACAGCACACCACGCAGGACCACGCAGGACCACGCAGGGTAGCACCAGAGCAGCTCAGGAGACAGGGGAAGGGCAGGGAAGGCATGGGCAACACCAAGAGTTTTTTTCTGTGGTTTCTGCAGGAAAGTCTGGGCCAGGCAGGGCAAGCAGGCATGGGCTTGGTTCATTAATAATTTCTGCAGGCTTGCCGGTAAGGGGCTGCCCCCAGTTGCCTAAGTGCCTAGCCTTAGAGTAATTAAGGCAGAGGAATAACTGCTTGGTTTGTGAGAACTTGATAAAGGTAATTGAAGGGTGGACTTTGGGTTGGTTGGTTTGCACATGGGAAATATTTTATTATCTCTGTATGATCTTTATTGGCCCGCCCTGGGAGTAACAGTGTCTCCAGCATTAACAAGGGCCCTGATATCAAAACATCATAAAATACAGACAATAAAAAGGCATGGTTAATGCAAACCTCGCTTGGTTCTTATGATGAAGCTCTGAGGAAGAGCCCCCAACAGCTCTGGCCAGGTAGGAGGCAATTTATAATTGTGAAGTGCACCAGAGCCGTCTCTGCAACAAAGGTTATTCTCCAGGAAAAAACAGAGTCCTACTCTCTACCTGGGAGTTCCTAAGTGAATTCCTCATCCTGTCTTTAAAGACTAAGATTCTGCCAGGCGCAGTACAGTGGTGCAAAACCTGTAATCCCAGCCAGCTTGGGAGGTTGAGGCAGGAGGATCATTGTGAGTTCAAAGCCAGCCTCACCAACTTAGCAAGGCCCTAACCAACTTAGCAAAACCCTGTCTCAAAATAAAATATTTAAAGAGGGCTGCAGATGTGACTCAGTAGGTGAGTGCCCCTGGATTCAATCCTCAGTATAAACAACAACAAAAAAGATTCTCATAGTCAATAGGGGTCTGGGCTTCCAGAATATTGTTACATAATGATAAAGGGATCAAACATCCAAGAAGACATTACAAGCCTACATATGTATGCATGAAACAACAGAGCATCAAAATTCACAAGACAAGACAAGCACAGAGGCACACACCTGTAATCCCTGAGGTTTGGGAGCCTGAGGCAGGAGGATCATAAGTTCAAAGCCAGTCTCAGCAAAAGTGAGATGCTAAGCAACTCAGTGAGGCCCTGTCTCTAAATAAAAAGCAAAATAGGACTGGGGATGTGGCTCAGTGGTCAAGTGCCCCTGAGTTCAATCCTCAGTAAAATTAAAAAAAAAAAAAAATCCCAAGACAAACACTGATAAATCTGTAAGGAGAAGTAGAACAATCCACCGTTATAATTGGCATTTCAGTCTCCCTCTGTCAGTAATTAATAGACAATCAGTAAAGCTGAGAGATCTGAACAGCACTGTCAATCAACTTGACATTGAAAAAAGGTTCAATCCAACAGCAGAAGAATACATATTTTTCTCAAGCTCATATGGAGCATGTAGCAAGACAGACTATATTCTTGGGAAACATGTTACCAAACTTAAATGAATAAAAGTCATAACAATATGTTCTTACAATATAACAAAATTAAACTAGATATCAATAACCAATAATAATAATAATAATAATAGCTGAAATAATAGCTGAAAATTCCTCCAAATATTTGGAAATTAAGCAATAGACTTCTATATAACCTTCAGATCAAAGAAGCCTCAAAAGAACTCTTAAAATCTTTTGAAATGCACAAAAATGAAAATATAACTTATGAAAATGTGGGGGGATGCAACATACACATGCTGTGGAAAAAAGTTTTACCAGTAAGTGCATATGTCTTAGTCAGTCTTGTGTTGCTAGAACAAAATACCTGAGAGCAGGTGCTTTATAAAGGAAAGAGGTTTGTTTGGGCTCACTGTGTTGGGGGCTGAAAAGTCCAAGTTCAGGCAGCTATGTCTGGCGACGGCCTCATGTTGCATCACAGCCTGGCAGAGGGCATCAGAAGGTGACCACATTGTGAGTACCTGTGGAAGAGACCAAAGACCTGGGTGGCCTCTCTTTTATAACACCCCATTCTCAAAGTGACTCATCCAGTTCCTCGAGACCTTGCTCACTCCTTTGAGATTGACATCAATCTTTTCCAAGGGTGGTGCCTGGGAACAGATCACCACATACTAGGCCCCGCCTCTTAAAGGTCCACAGCCTCAATACACCACACTGGGGACCAGTTCCAGTAGCACCTGGGCCTTTGGGGACACACTCAAACCATCTCCAAACCATAGCCCTACGTTAGATAAAGGAAATATGGAAAGTTAACAGCCTACAGTTCCACTTTAGGAAACTACAGGGGGGGGCGGGGGAAAGCAGATTAGGCTTCATCCAACAAAAAAAGGAACAAATTAAAATCAAGACAGAAATCATTGGAATTGAAAACAGGAAAACAGTAGGGGAAACCCGATAAAATCCATGTTGGTCCTTTAAAATCAACCAGATTATTCAGCCTTTAGCTCAGGTTAAACAAAAAAGAAAAAGAAAAGAAAAGACAGAGAAGAAAATGTGGATGCACCCTAAGACAGAGCTCATTTTGTCAGGAATTCCCCCGGGAAAGCGTGGTTCCTGCCTGACCTGACGGGAAGAGGCCCACGCTTGTCCCTTGACCCCCCTTCGGCTGGCCTTTGTTTGGGTGGGGTCCAGGCCTCCCGGCAGCACTTGGTTCTGCAGGTGAAATTCAAAGAGGCCCCGCCACCTGGGGCCTCACACTTCTGCTTTCTGGTGTGTGTTTCAGGCGGACACTTGAGGAAAGGCGCTGGCCTGTCACGCACACACTCCTGGCAGCGGGCGGCCCTCCAGCTCTCTCTCCGTCTCAGCAATTGGTTTTTTAAAGTCCTCTCTTCTGCACTGGGGCCTGCCTGAGTTCCATGCAGCCTGGTCTCCAGCCTGGGATCCTCCGGCTTCCTGTGTCAACCCAGGGAAGGAAGGTAGGTCAGATTGGCAGGAATCCAATCAGGAGGAGACCCCGGGGGTCTCAGGGCTCCTGTGGCTGTGCCCAGGAGGGCGATGGTAGGTCACCTCTGTGCCTGTGTGTTCTCCCCATGGCGACACGTCCCTCCAGGGGGCTAAACCACCCTTCGGTCCCGTGTCTACCCTTTGCCCCTTCCTTTGAGCATTGGACACACGTACCTGCCGGGTTTATGACAGGGACAGTCATACAATCTAAGCAACTCTCAGAGGCTTCTGGAACATTTTACAATCACGAATCTCCCATGATTATATTTAATCGTTGGGGAAAAAAATGAGTTTATATGTGCTCAGCAACACCCTGGAGATTTCTTAGTGTCCCTTTTGTTTAAGTCAGGGAGTTTGGTTCTTGTGGCAGCCACAGGGTCCCCGTACAGCTTGTGCTAATGACATGGAGGGACTGCAAAAGTAAAAATAGAGTCTGGAAGCTGGAGACTTCTGCCCAGCACCTGCGGATCAGACAAATGTTGTGTCTACTGACTGTGTCTCTGCCAACCGCCGCTTCCCCGCCGCCTCCGTTCTGAGAAGCAAGGGTGTTGGGGCTTGGAGCAGGATCAAGGAGAGCTCTGTACCTTTACTTCCCTGGGTGCTTTGCCCAGGCAAGACAAGACCAGCAAGATCTAGCAGGCATGTTCCGCAGGAAGTCTTTAACTCACTGCTTTGCCGAGTGTTGGTATCTTTCCCAGAGGACAGTGGCAGTGAGGTGGCTCCCGGGACACAGTAGAGGGTTGAGTTCACTGGGGAGATGTTCTTGCTTAGGATCCACGCGCCCCAGGCCACTGGCTGAAGCCTGGCTCTGTCCTCCCTGTTCCAGAGAGCAGGAGACAGACTTTGCTAAGGTATGACCTTGGCCTTGACCCAGTCTCCACTGAATTATTCACAAAGCCCAGCTCTTTTTAATGACTCATGGCCTGTGTGCCCCTCCCCATCCCCTGAGCCCACCGGTGTGAAGTGGGCTCTGCGTGGAGACTTCAGAGCTGGCACCCAGGTGAGGTGTCTAGCTGGGTCCCCTGCTTCAGGCATCAGCCTGGCGTGGGTGACTGTCATTGTCCTCCCCTCTTCACTTCTCTGCCCAGGGTCAGGGTCCTTCTTGGGCTGGTTGCTTATTTGTAGCCAACTATGCTGAAAGTTCACACCCACGTGTGGACACGGAGGCATATCATCTGGCTTACGGAGCCTCCGCTGTGGAGTCTCAGGAGGTCTGTAGGTTTGCTGAGGAGGTCCGCCCTTCCCGTATGCATTTCCAGGGCTTCCAAGTTCTGAAGGGGCAGCAAACGAATTTGGTTTTGAAGCTTTGGATGGTGTTTTCTTCTAGGGCAGCAGCTCCTGAATTTCCAAATGACAGTGAAAGCCAGGCTGGCCACGCCTAGCTTACTTTTTGTTTCTTGAAATGTGGGTCTTGGTATTCTAAAGAGTCCCCTGTGCTTGCCTGTGGGTGCAGACACAGGGGTGCACTCTGCAGAGTGAATGAGAAGCATGATTGCCTCTTGGGAGAGCACCGGGAGGCTGGGGACAGGCTCTGCATGGTGGTCTCCCAGAGGGCAATCCCACATATCCACGATGAAATGCCCACCAGGTAGACAAGGGGCTAATGCAGGTTGAATGTGTTCCGATTTCCATTCCTTCCATGTTGCAAACCCTGGTTTGTAACGACATGCTTGCATCTGCATGGTGAGACCCTGCTATAGAAGGCTGTGAACACCCACCCAGGGCAGACTAGTCGAGGGTGGTGGTCTGTGGAAGCAGGTGCTGTGGGGGATGATTCCTGTAGCATCTCTCTTTGCTTGGTCATTTCTCTATAGCTAACCAGTCCTGCAAGACTGATTCTGTCTCTTAGCTTGAGCTCATTCCTCTTTCTTATGAAAATTAATGTAACCCACAGAGGAAGTTTTTCCTTTTACCCAAATCTTGACAATTTTCTCAGCTTCAAACCATGAAGAAAATTCCCAGATGCATCTGAACAGGGCTACTTTGCATTTGAGTGGCTGTGTGGTTTCGAGTATGATAAACCTAGATTTGCATCTTCCTGATTTTGTTTCCCTAAATGGTATGGATTTTTTTATTTTGCATATTATTCACGATGTTTGTGGTTCAGCAGTGTAGCAAAGCATTTGCTTATGACACTAAGGATCTTTGAAAACATGGCTTTGAATGGTTTGATAGTATCTTCTTAGATGCCTATGCCATAATTAGCTTTTACTAATTCCTTATTTTTTAACAGCGAGGGTATTTCTAATCATCAGTGCAAGAGGGATGAACACTTGTATAAATAGATCTTTGTCCACATCAGATTGTTTCCTTGAATTCTTGGAGGTAAAATTGTTACATGACAGGATGGCACACATCTCTTAATACACGCTGGTATGGATTTATCAGGTAATTATCTTCGCTGCTGTTTGCCCAGAGGACCTTTTACTTCTGCCACAGTCTATATGATATGAGGTACTCTTGTGGCCTAGAGATGGGAAAATGAGCCGCTTTCCATGGCTAAGTGCTATTGGAAATGTTTGCTACAAGAAGTTACAGGGCTGGGGCTGGGGAAGCTAGCACCTGCAGGAGCCGTGCTTCAGTGGTCTCAAGAAAAGCAGAAGCCCCAACCACAGGTCTGAGGCCCTTAGATAACGAGGACACACAGGGCATTCAGAACAGGCTACAAAGGTTTCCTCTGCTGTTTCCAGGTCAAGCTAGAAAATGCTGGAAATCAGACAGATTCAGAGAACAAGAATACTGTGTTCAAGAACATCGTCATAGGTGAGTGGTTTTCCCAAAACATTGAAGCACAGTGGTATGTTTTTGTGAATGAGATTCAGGGACAGTGAGAGGGTGCAGAAATTACTTAGAGTCAGTGCTCACTACTTATGACTTTCAGATTTGCAAATTGATCTATTCATTAATATGTACTTGCAACCCCCAAATCAATACAGTACTTTTACCACTGTTTGTATAATTGTGCAAGGTGGTAAAAAGTCTGCTGACACACATGCTCAGGTTGAATAAGAGACATTCTGCCTCAGGTTGCATAAAGAGACACTCTGCCTTCTTGTCTCAGCCATTCTGGTGTGAACAGGTGTCCCTTTGCCTGGTCTTTTTATGGCCACTTTGGAGGGGGCAATTTTGTGCTTTCTGTTGGTGACTTCACCATGGAAAATGGTCCCAAGTATAGTGCTAAAGTGCTGTGTCGGGTCTAAGATGTGCTTTACAGAATGAAAATGTCAGCTTTATACACGAGTTGCAGTACTGATGGCCATGAGTCCCTATTAATATATCAACAATATATAATGAAGTCATTTTTTTTTACAAATATAAACACACAGTTGATAAAAGGTTATATATTGATCAACTGATAAAAAGGTAACCAGCCAGCCGGGCGCTGTGGCACAGTAATCCAAGCAGCTCAGGAGGCCGAAGCAGAAAGATTGCGAGTTCCAAGCCAGCTTCAGCAATATAGCGAGCGAGGCCCTCAGCAGCTCGTAGAGACCCTGACTCTAAGTAAATATAAAAAAGGCTGGGGATATAGCTCAGTAATAAGCGCCCCTAGGTTCAATCCCTGGTACCAAAAGAAAATAAATATGTAGCCGGAGGATCCCAAGAATTTAACTTTGCATTTTCCTAAGGAGCAGTGTTCAGAATTTGCAAATGTGTTGTTCATGCTATAGAACAGAACTACCATGCATAACAAGAAACCGCTGTATTTTGTTTCGTGCATGAAATGAAAAGAGAATAGAACCCAGATTATCAATACTGAAGAAATGGAGAGAGGAGAAAATAGAGAAAGAAATGATACTCTGAGGGTTTATAAGTTATGATGTTAGTGACAGTGAATCAATCTGAACTTTGAGAATCGTCTTTCTTCCTGGTTGCCATTATCTGTAAGTGCTGGGCTCAAGATTGTGGCTCTTGCAGGATTTGGGGATCCAGTTCTATCCTGTGGTCTGAGACGTGGAGATGAAGAAGAGAGCATGAGGCTGGCCACAGCCACACACGGGGCTCATGCAGCTTAGCGCTCCTCTTGCTGACCTCCGACTACCTTTTCTCACCTCTTCAATACCAGAAAGGCGTATCCTGGCTCTGCCAGGAGTTTTTATCCTCAGTCCCCCTGGCTTTAGGTCTCGTTTATCAATAACTCCTTCGTATATCAATCAAGCACTGGTTGCTTCTGTCACCCAACCCCATTGCACTTACTGTATTAGGTGTCTGTTGCTACCTAGCAAATTGCCCTAAACTTAGTTGATTAAAACTATAGCAATCATTTATAGGTTGAGAGCACCT